CTTTCAGCCAGTCTGGGTCTCAGCCATATGCCTGTATCTGTCAAAAGCAGCCATGGTAGTGTCATCTGCTTTGTCTGCCAGGAATTCCCCCATCTTGAATGATGTACCACTATCAACAAATATCATCATATAAGTCTTTCCACTCAGTGATGCTATTCAAGACAGTCCCCACAAATCCATTGCAACAAGCTCCAGTGGGTTGATGTTGGAATTGGTGGGCTCATTGAAGGAACAGTGAGCATGTCTCACTAGAATACAGTCCTCACAGCATCTCTGGATAGGCTCTGAGGTAATTTTCAAGCCATCCACCAGCTTTTTTGATACTATCTCCTTGATTTTTGCAGGGCTCATGTGGACAAAACAACAATGCCAGATACTCAGTGAAGTGGGAGATGAGCAGGATGCCATAGCTTGGGGGCTGGGTGCAGCATCCAGCACATACATGTCATCCAAGTCTCACCTAGCAAAGATCTCTTTATCAGACTTATCCTAGACAACTGCACAGCTATCAGAGAACACAGTTGACAATCCAGCCTTGTTTAAGGTACTTACAGAGATGAGATTTGTGGTGAATGAAGGTGAATGCAAGGCATTTTTGAAGGTGAGCTTAACATCTCTTCTATTCAGTCTGAAGACCTTTGTTGCTGTATCCTGGCCCAGGATCTCAAATGATCCCTTTCTCTCAACTGCAGATGAGCCAGTATGGAAGGCTACTAGCATGTACTCTGTGAAGTCATCATGATTTCTGAAGAAGTAGTTGCTTGTGCCAGAATCCATAAAGATTAGAGTGGTGGCTGGGGTATGGCCTTTGAATATAGTCATGACAAAGGCTATTGTAGTAGAGTCAGCCTCATATGTAAAGTGTCCTACATTCTTGATGTTGGCCTTGCTGGTGTCTATACTCTCAACAGAAGGTATCTCATCATCTCCAGCAATGTCTTCATCATCAGAGTCATTGACATCAGTGAGAGAGGGCATTTTGAGGTCTGTCTCTTCTTCAACCTTTGATATTAACATAGTGCTGCTCTCTGTTTCATTCCAGCACCAGAAAGAATGGGTACCATTTCACTCATATATCCTCTCACCAGTGCTGCCATCCTCAATTACAATGCCATCATCATCACAATCAACTTCTACTGTAGTAGCACATGCAGCAAGTACAAAATGCCTCATAGTATCAGCCATGGTGTTCAAGATTGCCTGGTTTGCATGGCAAGGTCAGCCAAAGTTGACAGGGAATTGTCTCTCTTTTCCCTCTCCTGGCCAATAACAATTCTTAATAGTGTGCCCAGTCTTATTATGGGCCTTGCAATCTGGGTTGTGACATCCACATACCATGACAGAGGTTCTGACTTCAGCCACAAGTGCTTGGGAGTTGGCAGGACCTTTATCTGCTGCATGAAGCATGGCAGCATGGATTTGGAGATGGAAAAACACATCAGAGGATATTGGCATGCCATATAAACTTGAGAGGATAGGCATCCAGTGATCAGTTGGGATTATCAAGCAAATAATTATTCTCTTGAACTTCTGATCACTCAATGCTATGGTTTGAAGGTCATTTACAGCTTGTTGTTTCATATGCAAGTTGGTGACATGAATATTGATGTCACTGTTCCCATCAAACTTCACTGCATACAGCAATGCCTCAGCCTCAGAAAAGGCCATATCCATTTTCTTTGTGTGTTCCACAGCAACAGAGTCTCAGCATTCCTTTGCTGTTTTGTCAGTCTTGACCCCTAGACCAATGGGGTCAAGAACATTGAGGATGATATTTGAGTGGGTGAGCTGATTATGAAAAATCCACTTATCATATGAGGGAGAGGATGAGTATATGGGAGTAGGGTCTGGTGAGAGAGGTGTAGTAGTAGCTGTGGCTGTGGTAGTGGTGGCAGGGATGGCAGGACAGACAGTAGTTCCTGCAATATATCCCCATAGGCCTTTTTTCTTCAGTAACTCAGTAAGTTGGAGTTTTCATGAGGCATAGTTCTTCCCATTGAAATGGCTACTCATGTTAGGGAGGATAGTGACTCCCAACATCAACAACATCATTTAGAGGTGTGGTGTAAAGTGGTGAGAGTAGTGGTATGGTATAAATTCAAGTGGTAAGTTGAGTTAAAATTCCATTGCATATTCTTCTTGACTGAGTAGTTATAGGCAACAGGGCCTCATAACCTATTGACAGAAGAATATATATGAGTATCTCAGTTGGGTACAATGTGGGTGAAGTGACTGTATTGAGTCTACTATACCTATTGACAGAAGAATATATGTGAGTATCTACAAACAAGTGTAAGTATCATAGTCATAAGCACAGTAGGGATATACATACCTCAGTCAGGCACAACATGGGTGAAGTGACTGAGGCATACAGATAGGAATGGCTGGACTATATAGGTGATCAGGAAATGACAGGAGGTGTAAGTATATACAGTTGACTATCTCACAATGCATATGGTTGGGAGACACCAAAACCATATGCATTTATAGATTTATGCAGAACTAAAATAGCATGTGATGTGACATGTGACTTTATGTGACAATATTGTCATTGCTCCAAAATGCTGTCAGTAGCTTTTGGATCAGCTTTCCATGCATCTCCTTGAATAATGCCTCTTTCAACTTTCTCAGCTGTGGTACTAATCCATCCTGGTCACCTTGGAAACATAAAATGCCTCCAGCTTTTGAATAAGCTCAAATCCTTCCCTTGTAGTTATCAAGGTCTGTTCTTCCTCATCCTCCTCTTCCTCTTCTTTCTCCTCATCATCATCATCAATGACAGTTATTTCCCCATTTTCTACTGCAATATCATGCTTGACAGCAGCAACAATCTTCTCATCTGTTGGTATCACCTCAAGATCTTCAGTATACTCTTCTGCAATAGAGTTAACCATCTCTTCAATGGTTGGAATGAGACTAAACATGTGATTTTGTTATTTTAATTTGACAAGATAGTCCTTCAACATTATCTCTGCTGTCTGGAGCTGTTGAATAGAGGCAATTTGGGTGGGAGGTGTGTTCATTTTTGACTGTGACAAAGAAGCCAACTGATTGACTGCCTTCAGTGCTTTACCAACATCATTCTCTGCATTCATAACAGCCATAAGAGCAGAACACCAGTCAGCATCAGCATATTGGTTTCCAAGCAGATCCTGCAATGCCTGTTCAATCCCTGGAAGTGTGTATTTATCTGTTGAGATAAAGTCATGAATAAGATTCTATGCAGACTTGAGGAGTGAAGTATCTTGGAAATCATTAGATGGTGTGATAGACTGTGACTCAGGTGCATTGTCAGGCATTATACCAGTGTGTTTCCAGCAGTTTGCTATCATTTCACTGCTGATATTTGCCCAAGCATCACAAGTGATAATCATAGCTTCAAAGAGATCAAGCTTGAAGATCTCAGACTCTCCAAGATCATTGAGATCAAGTGCACAGATACACATGGCATTTCAATAATATGCCTTGAAGCAGTGGATAATACCAGCATCTAGCAGCTGAACATATAGAGTCATATTAGGCTCAAAGAACTCCAGCTTTGTGTTATGGGATGTATAAGCAATAGAATGGCCTCAAAAGTTGTCCAAGGTCAGCAGAACCTGCTGCATCTCTCTCTTCATCTTTAAATCAAATATCTTCACCCACTCTGTAAATATTTCACTCATCATCCAGACCTTCTTGTTATTCTGATAATAGAATCCCATTGCTGTTGGACTCTTTTTCTTGAAACACTATGGTTGCTTTGACTTGCCAATGAAAACAACTGGCATTCGCTCACTCTCATCTGCATTCACAGCAAAATACATAGTGATACAGAACTTGTCCTGTTTTCATCCACTCATAGGACCAGATGCCAAAGTACAATCTGGGATGGCAAAGATGACAAGACTGAATTTATCAATATTCCATCTGTCCTGCATCGCATATTTCACCATAATGCTGTGAAGATGCACATGTTCTTTTTCCACTGCCATCATATCCACTGAGCCTGCTTCTCCATGCCGCTGAATCTCCTGAATCTTCCATGCCTTGCAGAATGATCTCAACTATTCCTCTTCTTTCAAACACTGATTCTCTGGAATATTCATCAGATTTTCAATCTGATTTTGCTTCTCTATCAGCATTGCATCAGTCACAGTCTCATCTCAGAGCTGCATGTTCTGATATCAGGATGCAACAGCACACTCCACATCAGGTCAGGTGACAATACAAGACTTTTTGGATGATAGTACATTAGGGTTCTCATTTGCATACTGTTCAATTTTTGTATGAGATGCCAGTTTCCATGAAAGAGTTGATTGGGTAAAGAGCAGTGCACTTTCCTTTCAGTTTGTGAAATGTGCCACAATGTCAGCATGTCAATGGGAAGGATGGTTATCAATATGTTTGAATACTACAAGCCAGTCTCCTGTTGTGAGGTGTGGGTGAGAGATCTGCTTTGGAGGCTGAGCTGATAATGTGTATATTGGGACTTTCTCCTTCTGTTTTGTATGCTCATATGGATTTCCAGGTTTAGCACATGGTTTTCATGTTGGTTCAGGAGGCATGTTTATAGAGATATAGGCTGCATCACTTTACAATAATTTTTTTTGTGTTTGTCATAGTCTATACAAACAAATTATGTTCTTTATTGTTCTAATATATGCATAATGTCATATCAGCTTACTATAATTTTTGATCTGACAATGCATATTCCTAACTAGAACCATATGCATTATGCGATATGCATTTCTAGCCCATTTTTCTGCTCCCTGACTGTGTTCCAGCCCAATCCATATGCAAAGTCAGAATTATGCATTTCGACATCATGTATTGTGAGATAGTCAACTGTATAAGGTAAATAGAGCAAGTGATTGAAAAGTAAGATAAGATGAAATGTATGGATATCCTCCAACATGTGCTTTGTCTTTTTCAATCCTGTTTGATATACTGTGCACCTGTTTTGTAGGTATCATTCTGTGAAGCAGTTTCTCTGTGGCTGAAGATGTGTTGGCAGACTCATGTCTTTCTCTCTGGCATATATGGTTGAAGTAAGCTTGTAGTTCTATAAGTCTCCTTATGGAGAACATATGTTTATTTTCCTGTGGTGCTAGGTCTTCCTTGTTTTGACTTGTGCCATCTATAGGGATGACAATGCACTATCGTTATCTGCTCGTATGTGCACATTGGCAAGTCGTGCTTGCTTGGTTTGATTCTTGTGTTTATGTAGCATGCATTTAGCTGCTGATAGTTCCCTCATTTATCTTTATGGTGGTTTTCTCTGTGATACTTTTGGTAACAGGAGATATGCTTCTTTCACCTGAGAAATAGCTGACTTGTGTTATAGATGGGTCTCCGACAACGGGAGACCATCGAACGCGATGAATGGAGCCTATACTGTCATTCAACTGTGTCGTCTCCGTATTAATCGTCTGTTGCCGATTTCTCGCTCCGTATTGACAGCATTATGTAGGACTCTTATTACAGCCATCTTCGTCCTGTTCGTGGTGTCTACTATGATTATTTTGGAAGGTAGGCTCGTCCCGAAGTATACCGACCTTGGATCTAGCTCAAAAGCTGTCCAAGTGTCTATGGCAGTCATCTTATGGAAAAATAAGAAAAGGCTGAAGCCAATGGAGGCCAACGACACCCTTTCTTCGATCTTCCCTGCAAGTCTCTTCTTCCGATCCGTAACGTTTGCTATATACATTTTTCTGGGTATAGGGTTCGTGGCTGCTTTTTTTTTTCTATTCGAGACGAGATAACGCACCTATCATTTTTTTAGAATCAGTGCTTCTATCCTTCCTAGTCAGACCGCTAATTCTCCCATTTGGAAGGTGACTTTGACTACACGTACGTGCTGTGCTGACTTGCTCCTATTGGGTTTCCTTATCGACGATGGTGTGTCAGCATCTATTGTGATGGCTTTGACATTTGGGATACAAAAAGTAAGAACTTGGCTTTCTGTTCTGATGCTGCGATCTCATAATCAAATTGAACAGGATATGATAGCGTTCTACTGGCACCCTAAGAGAAGTGGTGGTGTCGAAGAGGGAGGTTAGTTCGACGTTCTTATATCCGGGGCGTTGCCGTCAAGGAAGCTTCGACATGATGGTGTTGCAGGCTGGAATGCAAAATATCATTGTCAGGAGTCTGATTTGTGTATTCGTGTATCTATCAAGTTGGATGTGTCAATTTTAGAGCCGCCATCGATTTGTCAATTAGGTTTATTTCACGTACGGTTATTTTCTAACTACAATCTTATATCTTTGGCTTGTAACACCACCCCTTACACCCTACGCGAATACGCCAGAATATACCAGACAGAGTCTAATGATACTCTCAGTAAGATGACACAGCCAGAGATTACGAAAGCAATATGATAACGACAGTGAAGTCGGGATGGTCAAGTACGTCTTATCAGATCCATCGCAAGAGTCCCTTCAGCCGCAGCCATGTATTCATGGATTTTGATTCACAGGTGTGCTGCAGATCTTCTAGCATAATTTCTCTACACCCAATCTTGCTTTCTCCCTCAGGCGAGTCCTCATTCTTCTCTCAATACGTCGATAGTCTTTTCCCGGCTCTTGTTGTGCACCAACCCAACCCAGGACAAATGCAGGAGACAGTGCTACTTTCCTCCTTCTCCTCTGCTATATACCTTATCCGAGCTTGCTTCAGATCATTTGTCGATCCTGCATTGTAAAAATGGCGAGGAGGTGATTGGTACGTTAGCACCTGCTAGTTTTATTCAATTTTGAGCAGTTCATTGTGAGGAAATCAGGCTTAGATCCTCGGAAATTGACGACCACAGCTCGATAACCAAGTCCACCTTGGTCGATGGGTGCACATGCGGGCGATAGTGTCGCTTTAATATAAGGCTTTCGAACGAACGTGTGGATTGAGTAATAGGTGTCTGGATAGACTCCATCCCGTGGACACATAACGCAATATACAATGTACCGCCGTCTAGAAGGCGAAGATAAATCCTATAAACGAGCTTTGTGAAGCGCAATACATTACACGCGCAAGTATGAAGTGCTGTACCTGGAGTATTGAATCTGGTTTTTGACTTGCTGAAATTCCCCACTACACAGTATACTGTTTGCGCATGGCCACTGAAGATGTAACCCATGAGCCCTCTTAAATAAAACGAGCCGGCGAACATACCTGTTTAGCCACCATACGTTTGAAGTTGTTAGATAGACTGGGGCAGCGACCTTCAATAAGCTCGCGTAGGGAGCGCTGTTCAGTTCCTTTGTTCGGGCGTAATTGGATGGTGATGAGTGCTGGAGACGACGGGTACGAAACAACGGTGCTTTTTGTCATCGTTATGCTGAGAACGAAAGGGCTCGTGGGCTCGGCGTTAGAAGTCTGACGATATCATCCATCAACTCGAAGAGAAGGATACATCCTCAAGCGTTGGGGAACAGACAACGCGGCGATACGCATCTTCGAGACGGTAGAAACACGGCAACTGATATTTCAGTCGCCGAAGTGTGAATTTGATCCAACTTTTTCGCAAATGAAGACTGTGTGGAAGTGGCCCATGTTAAATATCTCCTGCTGATGGACACTGAATTCTTTTGCTGATGGAAGCCAGTGAAGATCGAAGACGCGGGCAGACCGGATGACTCGGTGAGAGGGTAGTGGTTCTCACTGCGGTCTACATAATATAGCGTTATATGGTGGCAAACACGTAGATTTCGCGCATTCGGTCGTTGAGTTTGGTTATTACTCTCTTTATTTGACATGAATTGCGGTGCGCTGCTCTCGTAGAGCTTGATTCATTCAAATCTGTTAAAAGACCCGTCAGTATTCCTTCGGTAGGATAATTATGGTCCCAAACGACGTCAAAGTTCTAGCTGATTTGTGAGTGCCTTCTGCAACTGAAGCTGTACAACTACGCACAGAGAAATGTAAGATGATTTAGCGCTTTTGGGCGTGTCAGCTTAGCTTGATTCTAAAATCAGATTTCTTAGGCTGGGTCATTCAAGAGACAAGAGCACAGAAATACGGGAGGCAAGTTTTAGTACTATGTTCCACACACGAGCTGCGAACTTGTCCGGAACGGAAGTAAACAACCTGAATTCGAACGGAACAATTCACGTGGCAACACTACGGCACTGCCGACTTGCCGCTTTGACCCGGACTATAACGACGAACTTCGTTGTTCAGTTGAGTTCAGTTGTACCGCTATCCTGGACATGATACTCGCTGTACTGCATCAATTGCAATAGTAGAACTCCCATCTACCACTAACAGGCTTTGAAGAGTAGCCGGAGAAACGAATGCTGGCGAATCCAAGCAAGGTGCCATTCATCACGGCGGAGAATCAGTTACCAGTGGAAGATTTTGCGAAGTTGTAAACAGCATTTGTGCGCATTCATTCTTAAATTTTTATCCGGGGGCCAGAACCTTGCGACAACTTCAGCTTGACGCTCAACGAACTTTCCAGGAAGCCAGGAATTTTCGATATGTTTGACAAACTTGTTTTGCTGGATTCCTCTTCCGGCTTTGTGTGCTATATTTACCGTAGGTGAATGGATGCTAATGGGGAAGTTTTATTTTCTCTGGTGTTTAAGTATCCTTGTAAACCAGCATCCGTTCACCTACGGTGTCTATTGAGCCGTACGTGACATTACCACATCGAATGTACTAACCTTCCATCCATCATCAGATTGATATGCGCCTGTTCTATTTTGTGTTACACCCAAGGGATATACCTTTAGGCGTATGACTGGCTTTGAGATATCGGGAATTACTCTTCGTGTTGGTATCGTTCATGAGTTCAGTTCGTTGATATCTTGTTTTGATAGGCTGCTTCGTCTTTGTTCCGTGATTACATAAGCATGAAGGGCGTCATATTTCGGCCTCCTCTACCTCTCTTTTCGAGTGAGATTTGTGCGTAACATTTCTCCTGCTCTTTTCGCTAGGCTAAAGGATATGACATTTAGAACAATAAACTAAGGCTCTTTTTTGGAGGCTCCTCCGACGGGAGGAAAAAGTAATTCGTGGTGTGCTTCTTGGTATGATGTTGGTCAGTAAGAAAAGCTTTACATGCGCACGTGCTTCCATCTCGCCTCGGGACTATTAGAACAATGATAGCTGCATGATTATATTTAGCTCGCAAGAACAGTTGGTGAATAAATTATGGATGCCCTTTCGCAATTTGCGAAACTCGCAGTATGACATAGGTAATTGAAGATGCTTTGTTTTCTGGACGATTGATTTTTTAATCCGTGTTGACTGTCAAACTAAAGCAATATCTTCAGTTTGCGATTTATTTTCTGCGCCCATTTTCCAGTATAAAAGACTTCGACTACAACTCCAAAAAACCATCGAGCTCGGTTCTACGATGTTGTCCAAGGGTGAGTATTTATCTACTCATATCTCAGCATGAAGCGAGCTGACCTAGAGTCCATAGTCGTGCTCCTCTTGCCCGCATATCTATCTGTCGCTGCCGGAAGTATCTTACGGCCCATTGCAGGTGGATATTGTCTTCTGGCTACACTACTTGCCTGTCTGATGATACTGTAGAAGTTTCTGCAGGCGTCGCCGCTGACGCATCCATAAGCGCTCCCCCCGAGACGTCTACGTCCGCGATACCTTTACCATCGGTTGACGCACGAGCTGTGCTACCCGCAGTCAACATTGACGCTCTCGTCGATGGATCTTTAAACGTCGCCGCCGATGCCAGTCTCGACACGTTACTGCGGCGCTCGGTCGAGGCGTGCGCAGTCGCACCCACGCTTGACTTTTCTGGCTCGACTTGGATTTGGACGGGCGAGCAGACTGGTGCGGAAGATATCTCACCTACGGGAGCACGTCCATTCCGTAAGGCCATCCCGTCCTCCGGCACAAAATGTCCGGTCTGCGCCACTATCATCATCTCTTCGTAGGTTTCCTCTCTTCGTGAATGTATGAACGGTACTAATACTCTCGTAGCGATGACTTGTACTCCATCGTTGTCAACGGAAATGAAATTGGAGCAGGAAACGGTTACAAAAGCTCAGCCGTCTACACCGCTGGCCTCGAACCTGAAGGGCACAACGTCTTTGCTATTTCCGTGAACAACACGGGAGGAGCAGCCGGCCTCATTGCCACGATCCTTGTGGACTACAGAGATGGTACCACTCAGACTATCGTCACTGACACCACCTGGAAGACGATCAAAGCTACGCCCCCCGATGGCTGGACTAGTCCGAGCTTCGACGATTCAGCTTGGATTGCCGCAGTATCTGAGGGACCTACGGCGAGCACGCCTTGGGGGACGCCTCCACTCCCCCCTGCCATGAATATGACGGGAGTCAAATGGATCCATACGAATGAGACGTCCGCCGCTGGGGTAGACCCTCTGGGTCACAGACCATTCCGCAAGACTATCACGTCCCCCTATGGAAAAGCTGCTGTTTGTGGAAAAATCGTCATCACCGCGTACGTTTTCCTTCCCTACCTCATCGCCCCGATCCGTCTGACCGGACTTGCAGCGACGACGAGTACACGTTGTACGTGAACGGCAACGACACTGGAAGCGGTAGCAACTGGCTAGCCATGCAGGCTTATTCCATCCCTATTCTGGATGCGGATGAGAACCTCATTGCTGTGGACAGCGTGAATACCCAGCCGCCGCATGCTGGGCTCGTCGCGGGTGTTTTGGTGGCGTATGACGATGGGACATCGGAAACGTATTACACGGATGACTCGTGGAAGACGCTGGACGAAACCACTCCGGCTGGCTTTGAAGACACGGATTTGGATGACAGTTCGTGGATTAGTGCGACGGAGTGGGTGAATGGTGAAGCGAATTTAGTGACTGTTCCGCGTGCGTAAGCTGTCTTGTACGATGAGCTCAGTTGGACTTTGTCTTAATCGTGGAACTTACTACTTCTATACCCTTTGATCTTCAATAATATGTTGGTGCTGGTTTCTTCTTCGCAGTTCACTGTGGCTCCGAGTCGGTGTGGCGGTTCGTGGGAGAGAATTGGTGTGAGTTTACGTGAGTGAAATGAGAGAGATTCTGAATCAAGTTATGGCATCCAAGGATATGGCCTTTCTGTATTTGGTTGCTTAGTCGAGGTCGACAGAATCGTGGCTAAAGATTATGCGACTAAGAGCAGAAATGTTTGCACGGCTTTATCGCGATAAACAGAGTACAAAAACAATGGCAGAGCATGAAACAATCCAGCATTGAACAGAAGAAATTACTGTGGAAAGTATCAGTGGCGGGAGGCGTGCAGGGGGGAACTATTATTTACTCAATGACTCCCGGGTCATGGTTCGGAGTTAGTAACCGTTGTCAGGAGCCGTGTGACCTTTAGTCCTTCGAAGATTGAAACGTGTAGATACAATTTGATGGATATGTCTTGACAGCCTCTAGAATCTGGTCAGGCTCTACAGTGTCCAGTTCAACTCCGACAGACAAATACACCTCCATGAGTTTACAGGCAAATTGGACTCAGAAAGAACCGAAGCTACCAAATTCAGGGTAGATACAGACAGTTCCTGATTCCGTAGTATGATGTGCCATCGATAGCAGGTGTTATACATCCTCGGTGATGGTGACCGGTAAAATTGCCGGAGCCCGAGTGGCTCTAAGGTACGGCATGTTTAGATCCTTTGAGAAAATCGTCAATGAAAAATGATAATATATTTGTATCATCTCAAGAGAGCGAACCGTTTCAAAATTCAAGCATCATAATGATACGCTGGTTGTGTGTGGCAAGGATCGAAATAGGGGCCTATCGTCAATCCCAGTCAACATGCGGTCACGTGTTCTAATCAAACTCCGCTTGCCGAATTCGGAGTTCCTTCTTTTCCATCACGGTCGCCTTGACACGCGTTCACTTCCCTTTCGGGTTCTTCCTCTATTCCTCGGGGCAGTCAGAAGACACAGCCTGTATGCCTTAACTTTTTCATCAGCCGACTGCCCTGAGTCCAGACTTGTCTGAAGATGAAAAACAGTGATAGACGCTCGTTGATTGATCCTTTCGGATACGGTCCGAAAACATGAGGAAAACAAGCCACAACTGGTCCTCAAGGTATAAAAGCTTCGCTTTCTCTCTCGGGGTCCCCATCCCCTCTTGCCTTTAAGCAATGAACTATCGTACTGAGCGCTACTCTTGAGATGACGATGCCCCGGCCTCTCCTCAGAGGACGTCGGGTGTTGAATCCTCATCTGCAGCTATCCTTCTCTGCCACCCGTCCGTCGTAGGTCACCACTGTCATTGCGTGCGAGCGAGCGAGCGATTTACTCACTCTGCGTGTAGGCGTTCATCCTCTGAGATTCTCCTGATAGGATCTCTCCTGTGAACTGACCATCGGGGTCACAACTTGAGTGGCTCATGGCGCCACATCCGCGTCGAAACCAGCAACATATGTGTACGTTGTGCGCTACTGTTTCTTCAATTCGTCTGCTGATGCTTTCCTCGGTCAACGTCTCTCTAGGCCCTAGGAGATACGTGCGGTCGCTCTGCGACTATCCGGGTCACTGTCGGTTACCATATCGCTCCTCCTACTTGACGAGTCATGGTGCTCCTGATTTCAGTCGAGCGAACCCACCGTCGGGTGAATGGAGCAACTTGGTGACCAAGGTCAGTCTCAACATGATTGGCTAGGCCATGATTGGCACGCAGCGATGGGTAGCGATACCCATCCATCTTCCCAATGAGGTCGTTGACCGACTCGAACGGTGGGCGACGTACAAGCGTCGTGGTAGATGCGTGCAGTCGTTTCGACGACTATCCTTGGCCATTGTGCCCTCTCCCTTTCGTGATCCGGCGGCGTTGATGACCCTTCCTTGGACAGGCCGGTCATCCGCCATCGATAGGGTTGATGGTAGCCTTGGATCGGCATCCATCTTTCCGGCGACGTGGTACTGAGTACATCGTTCGAGCAAGCGACCGAATCGGTGAGGAGTTTGTAATCGGATCTCTCTGAGGCATCGGCTGCTCCTCTTTTTCAGTGCCAATGGCATTGATTGAAATCTCCGCAGTGAGTTGTTATCTTTATCAGACAACTTTCATCTTACGAGATTTCGTAGCTTCGGTTCGCTTTCTGCCAAAAAAAAAATGGTACGTCGTCTTCGTTCCTGATTTCTGTCTCCCTTGTTGATGGTTATCTTTTCAGAATTGCGCGAGGTCCTAAGACTCGTTTGCATCCTTCAAGACGGGGTGGGGTATTGAACATTGACCACGGGATGGCAGGTGGTCTCCAATACACCCACCCTAGAAAAACAATGGTGCGTCGCTCGACTTCACGACTTCGACATGACGATATGACTCTTTTTCTTTTCAGTGATAATCACAAAATAAAATACATGTACGTCCCTCCCTCGTCTTTTGCTGTAGATACTGATGTGTATCCATTGTTCTAGAAATACCTGCTCGTCATTTCAAACGAACGGGCGAAGCAGGTATCGAAAGGAATTCGGACCATTAATAATGCGTAGGCGTCGCAAGGCTGTCAAAATGCGCCGATGCGTGCAATGAAAAGAGCTGAGTATGTATTTATTCAACTCACCATTCTCTCGCCGTCTGACATTTTTCGCAGCATGCCATACATATATTCCGATTTGCCATCCGTTTAAATATAAGGGTTAATAGCGAGGAACGACCTCGGTTTGAAAGGTATGTAATTCCCGGGGGATAAGACGGAGGCAGATGCGCGCTGCCTCCGTCTGGGTGCTCCCTTGCCGTGGGCCCCGGGCTTTCCACCAAACTCACCTATACCTTCGCGTCCGGTTTGTCACCTCATTCCGGTTGGAAGTTGTCCGTACACAGAGAAGCCTTTGAAGGCTTACTCGCCGTACCTACCTTGCTTCTTTCCCTTCTTTCCACCTGGATAGTCAGGTGAGTACGACTCTTTGCTGTCGTTATATTTATTGAAATCAGTTGTCTTAGTTCTGCCTTCGCTTTATCGGTGGTATCTTCCCTGCGTATGTTCATTTGTTACCCTCCCTTCTGTCTCTCTTACTATTTTTTCCCCAGATCCTCAAACTGCGTCATCACCATTTCACGACATTAAGAGTCAAATACCTCAATCGAAGGTCGACCACGTCTTTCGTTCAGCCGCTTACAAGCTAAACTCTGGCAACACAACATCGCTCACGTCGGCTGCCAAAAGTATTGCTATATAAATGACCTTGTAAGCAAGTGAGTGCTTTCAACGAAACACCAGCAACATCAAATCGAGTGAGCTCGCATCCCAAGAAAAATAAAAGTACGTCGAGCTTTTGTTTTCTTCTATTCTTTATCTGATCGTGGTGCTTTTAAGGGACAGTAAAAGTATCAACGCTTGTGTGAAGTGCACTATAAGCGAGTGATGGCCTCTGCGTGAGGCGCCAACACAACGACAATACGCGGTATTGTCCCCCCCCCCCCCCCCCCCGGGGATAGAACGGAAGTGGATGTGCTCCCCTCCGTTCGGGTGTTCCCTTGACGTGGGCCCCGGGCTTGCAGGCATTGTACGGCTGCCTTTGGCGCTGTCTCGCTCTACCAAACGCACTTTGCACTTCAGCGCATTCTAGATACTAACTCAATGTATTATTCATTTTGCATAAATTCTATCCATAATATATCAAAATCATGAAAGTCTTTAGTTCAAATCCAGCATATTCCCCTCTTCGTTCAACCAAGCTAACTGGCCCAACGACCCATATTGATGAGTAGCACGGGGGAGTCGCGAACGCAGTGCCCTCCCTACGAGCACGCAACTTTGTATGATACTGTTTCCAAGGGAAATCTGAACGTGCAACTGGGAAAGATTGTTCATACACAAAGCATTGTCTAGGTCGGTCCAATATGGATGGTCTCTGTCAGACAGAGAGGCATTGCTATCAATGCGGATTTTCAGGTTCCAGAGTGAGCTGGGATGGTCGAGTGTCTTGGCCCACCACTTGATAGAATGTATGTAGTCGCGCCGCCTGTCCAGAACGAGGGTAAATGTGAGGTTGGAAACATATGGCATCTTGAGGGCAGGGAGTTCCTCATCTGTCATATCATGAATCAGCGATTGAAGAACACAAAAAGTATAAGATTGACGTACGCATAGCTATGCACCTGAATGTTATCTCTCTGGGTGAGGCGATGACAGGAGCGAGGTTGGCGAAGAGATCCTTCGTCCCTGGAATAGGATTGTTCGAGCCGGAAATTTCCAGACAATTCACCGACGACAGCGAAAAGGGGCCGTTTTGGGCCGTCAGCAAGTGGAGGAGGGACGTCGAAGAGTTGTCGAGATGAAGTGCTAGAGAACTGACTGATGGATTCAGTCTGCCTGGGATTCTGTTATACACTATGGGGAAGTCGTCGAATGTCACTCCTTCGATGGATACTGTGGTGAGGTGGGAGTAGGAACTCAGAAGAGTAACAAGTTCATTGTGGCTGCAAGTAACATTGTCTAGAAAGAGCTCCTCGATAGTCGGGAAGGACATGAGAGCTGTGTGGTACTCGGAGCGGTCTCCCCTGAGGTCGGACCATGCAACTCCATTGATGGCCATAGTTTCCACAGGCTTTTGTCCTCGTACGTCCGCAAGGTGACGAAGCAAACGAGACAAGCCCCCGTCATAAACACCGTTTCTTATCTTGCCGCAGATATAGATGCGGCTGATGTCGTAAGTTACCCAATGTTGGCGTTCGCACATCTCAGTATAAGTCGGCAAGGACCGATGGCGACGAGGTCCTATGTCATGGAAGCGGGCGACCATGGCTCTGTACATACATCAGAAATCATATATCATGGACGAAGAATTCATCACTTACCGGTTCTTAATAAGTGATGGGGGTGGAGAATGGGAGGTGTGAGATGGTCGCAAGCATCATTTGCATCCCTTTATATATCGTGGGCGATGAATGAAGGCCACAGGGCTGCGGTCCGATACAAGACAACCAACAAAATACAGTGACGGCCAAAGAGTCTGACAAAGGCTGAAGAGAAAACTTTTCTAGAGCTCTTTTGCCGAGCTCCGAGCCCCTGTGGATGATATCACTCACTGCTAAAGAGATGAACACATGTGAATTGCATGGTACCCAGGCAAAGAATTTCCTTGTACAAAGGTTGAAAGATCCGGTGAATTTCAAAAATTTCAGAGCCGAACATTGAATAAAAAGGTTCCCGGATCTTGCACTTGGTCTTGTTATCGAAACAAAAGACAGTCGAACAGTCGAAGCACCGGCAGTGGGTGAGCAAGAACATTACATTTATATCCAAATTTCAAAGAAGGAGACTTTGTTATTGTTGTTCCGTCTTTTGTAAATGTGGCCGGTCGAAGACGTCGATGCTGGCCTACAGAAAACAAGGTGTTTGTCTCTAGAGAATGACTAGCTAGCCAGCATAAAATTTTCACCATTAGTACTTACAGATCACCGACTGCCATTGAAACCATTGCGGCTACACAGACAGATTTCAACGCGTCGCCGTCAGAGGTGCGCGTCAGACGACCACAGTCGCCCGGCAATGCCGGCATCGAGTCCCTACTGGCATTCAATGAATTGTCTATATCTTTTCAGCGCAAAAGACTCACGGATAGACTCACGAGCTTCACTCGCAGAACTTCAATGCATTTGTTCTGTGTTTCTGCTGGTATACGTTATATGTTATCTCTTGCCAGCGCTCAATACAGTGTACTCAATAGCCAACAAGGCGATTAACTGGACCACCTCAGATCATCTTGAAATCATGTTCACAGCTGGTTCTCGCATTCATTGTCGGATATCATTGCCAAGATCGCAGCATCGACACTGGCAGCTGTGGTATACGCTATGACTGTGGTTCAGGATCCCCCTCTCAAGGAGTCTTGAGCACACTCAGCATGTATCGACTCAATCTTGATAACATTCTAGGTTTGCATCATATTAGCCCCGTTCCTAGGCTGCTGATATTGGAGTTCAGGCAGCACGAAGCGACTCTTATATCGCATCGTTACTTGCTGTTGGCCTTCATTGGTGGTTCTTTTCAGTATGGAGGAAGTCTAAAGAGTCCCACTCTGTTTCGACCACTGCTCAGCAACGCGTTTCGCGTACTACATGAATGTTTGAATCTTCCTTCGTTTACTGTCCCGTTTAGTCTATGTTAGGTTATTCGAATATCTACCATCTGTCTTGGAAATATAACTCTCAGTCGGAGATGAATTAGCCTCGATCGGTCAAATAAGGTCTTACAATGAGGTTAATGCTACCTGAGCGGCAAATCGACGACTCCAGATCTAGCTGCCGTCTAATGTTCATTTGCAACACTAGGCTCTGCAGAACACCGACGTGGTCATCCAGCATTCGCAGAATGGATGGGAGGGGAAATGACTGTAGTGAGTCAATGGCGATAGCTCGATGCCCTAAGCTCAAGTGTGTTACCAAAGGTGGTAAGCGTTCGAGTAGGACAGAGCTCCATATACCATGACTGACATGAAGGTACTCCAACCGCGGGAGATGTCCGACGACGTCATCCATAAAAGGCATGTAAGGAAGTTTCAAATCTGAATTGACAGTCAAACGACGGAGAAGTTTGAGTTCGTTGAGAATCAGGGGAAGGCGTGAAAATAGGGTATTCCTGTTTTCGCGAGGCAATCGGAAGTCGAATCGTGTCAGAGTCGATGACAAGGAACTAATTGGTAGTGATAGTAGTAGGTCACCTAGAATGTCGGTATATATTCCGAGTCTTGTCAACGGAGGTAAAACTGGGACTTCCGCATTCAAGACTCCAGTCAGTTGTATCCAAAGGTATACTTCTCTCAAAGAAGGAAGAGAAGCGAAGAGATTGATCGTCTCTAGATCAATGACGGAAGTGGTTATGACGAGAGATTGAAGCACAGAAAGGCTGGTCGCACAGAGCTGCCTGATGACATTTGGCAGAATGATTTCTTCCAATGACAAATTACCGAAAACGACATGGAAAGACCGGATGTTTCCCGGAGGGAGAAGGAGAAGCCAGTCATAATCTGCAGGTGTCACTGGGATGTCTGGCAGGGGATATGCTACAATTCTCAAGGACAGCGTGTGGATGTATGATCGTACAGCCGCGCATGTCCGTAGTGTAGAGGCGAGTAGCGGAATAGGGTATATGAACTGCAGGCTGGAGTAGAGGCGTCTGCGGGATGGTTCAAGCCAGGTTTTACAGACAATTGCAGTGGACGCAGTGTCTGGTTTGTCCAAGCCTGATACGATCTCTTCAATGATCTCTGGAGGGCAAAGTTCAGCAGCCGAGGGCTGACGGGGGTGATTGCACAAGTCATTCTTGTGGAGAGGTATTGAGATTCTAGACTTTACGTTAGTTGCTTTCACTGCCGATTCCACGGTGCCTACCGATGGTCAACGGCTCTTTCCGGTTGTGCCGTATCTTTGGACCAGTGAATTATTAGAAACTAAAGATGTCGATGAATCTGAATTAGTATTTGTTGGGATTTTGCTGGAAAGTTCTAGAAAGGGCAATCCGGCATCATGCCGAGAGTTGATGAGTAAGCCCGAGAGAAAGAGAAAGTTGTAGTAAATTCTAGATACAAGCCTGGAGAGTATAAATACGAGCTCTGTAGGAGCTGTAGAATAAGGAGTTCATACCTTCCGGCCTTACCAGCCTGGAGTCTACCCTGCGCATCACCGAGGATTTCCAACAGTATTCAATTTTGATTCAAGGCTAGACTCACAGCAAGAGTTGGTCGCAAGGCCCTGACCGAGTACAGGCTTGCGAGTCGTTGACTCAGAATGTGCGTGTAATTTAAAGTCAATGCGTGGTAAGTCACAATGTCACACCTGTTACCCGTTCCTCTACTTTCAGTATTCTGTCCTTTATATCTGCTTTGAGCCAGACATAGCACCAGAAAAACGACAATGAGAATTGTTATCGGTTCTGGGTCGCGCGAACCATGAAGTTTGAAACTTGAAGCTTGAACTTGAATAATTGTCGTGATGGGCGATGGAAGAGAAGATTCGCTTCGATGCGTGTTTCTCTGGTTGAAGAGTTGGCTATCTCTTTCGTCCCATTCTTTATCACTGCTCAAGTCCACACACCAATAGCCAGCGACTTACCCTTGATTCAAGGGAAGTCTTCTCATTACTTGGTTCAACGCCTACTAACCATGTCCTTTTGAGAACTGTTCGTACCCATCACGTATTTCATGTTCTGTTTTGCCTAACGCTAGCATTACTAGTAGAATCTAGTGTCTTGCTGACGGAACAGATTCGCGACGCTCTAGACTACTGTACAATAACCATCTGGAAATCTGGCTCGACACCGGACAACATAAAACAATAATCGATTGCAAAGTCTCCTGTATGTAGCGCCTGTTTGTCATGTACTCTAATCTGACGGTGCAAATGCCACTAGAGAATTATCTTCCTGTATGCCAGGAATAGACGATCCTCCAACTAGCAACCGATTTTGTCGATCCAGGCTTCGCAGCTCGATGGTTTGCCCGCCAGGACGTCAAAGGAACTTGAACTTACCTTACATATGAAGGTCCAAAGTCATCATCGACTTCAGTTTTTTTCGAAGATGTTCTCTGAGGGTAAGGCTTCTCACCATCATTATGTTAGACCTAACCGGACCATACTAGCTTTTGTCCTCCCGCCAAAGTCATGCTACCATGGCAACATTGGGTTGTGCAGGGAGGCTGTGCAAGCCTGCTCTTCTATTTAATGAGGCACATCAACTGGATTTCCACACACGAACGATGCTCCCCACCGAACTGTATAACCTCATTATCGACCATCTCCATGACTCCAAGCCATCCCTCTTAGCATGCTCCCTCGTCTGCTGCGCACGGGTCCCCGAAAGTCGTTTTCACGTCTTCCACAAAATCCAACTCCGTCGCGACACAGATTCGTTCTTCCAGTTGTTCGAGAGCCCCCATGCTACCCTCGCTTCGGCACATATACGCGAGCTTAATGTCGCGCAGAATTCCGTCACTAGAGGTGGAAGTCCCGCAGACCTGCTTGATGGCAGGACGTTCCAGGGCGTCTTGACTCGATGTCCTGCAGATGTCTTTGAGCATGTGCAGAAGTTGTCGGTGATTTGGGTTGGCTGGTGGACACTCACCAATGCAGAGAAACTGAGTATTGGACATCGATTCAAGAGTGTGACCGAGCTCCGGTTGTGGATGGTTGTTTTCCAGACAGATGAAGAGTTCCAAGCTCTGATCACTTCGATCCAGGCGCTGGAAGTCTTGTCTCTGCAGACTATACGGTTCCGGGCCAAGGATTCGGAGGAAGATCACTCAGACGCCAAGCACACACTGTCAGCCAACTTACATACCATCTCGCTCCACGACGTGACCGACCCTCGTATTATACGCTTTCTGATCCCATGTCTGTCTCTCCGAGTATTCAAATGTCACTATGTAAATTTTGGTGACTTTAAGCCTGTTGTAAGTAGAGAGGAGAGTAATGTACAGAGGATTAGAATTAGCCTCTTGAGAGAGACGTTCTACTTAAATACATTTTGTATTACTTCGAGATCTTTCTACGAGATACTAAATAAGTCTGGATCACGATCCAAGTCAGCTGCTGCTGACTGGCATCGTATCTTCGAGTACGTTCTCGTACTCACTCGGGATTGCTATTCCAACACTTCCCCTCAATTCTGAGTTCCTAGAATACCTGCAGATAGATACTCATGTAATGGTCTTGGTAGGCCTTTAGTGAATATATCCACTAAGTTATCTTCTGATGCACAGTGCTGAACTTTGACTTCATTTGAAGTCATGTGCTCATGAATGAAGTGGTGCTGTATGTCTATATGCTTTGATCATGCATGGAATATAGGGTTCTTGGTGAATTTGATTGCTGATTGGTTGTCAATGAAAATAGTCATTGCTTCATAAGGTGGCAATTCTAATTTGGTTAAGAGTGCTCATAGCCAAATTACTTCCCAGATTGTGTGTGCAAGGGCCATATATTCTGCTTCCATAGTGGATAAGGCTATGGTGGGCTGTTTCTTTGAACTCAAAGTAACAGCTCCCTCTGCATAGATACAGACATAACCAGATGTTGATCTTCTATCTGTTCTGTCTTCTCTCCAGTCTGAGTCTGAATAAGGTATCAGCTCATCCATAGTCCCTCCGTATGTGATTCTGAAGTCTAGAGTTCCCTTCAGATAGTGGAAAACTTGCTTCAAGGCTGTGACATGCTCAGCAACTGGATTCTGCATGTACTTGCTTAATTCAGTGACAGCATGTGCAATATCAGGCTGGGATCCATTGGCCACATACATTAGTGATCTGACACCAGTATGGTAGTATTGCCTGGTGGCTATGTCAACACCTCATGTGTCTTCTGTCAGAATTTTCTCTAGCTATACTGTTAAGCCCAAACTCCATGTGACTGATAACATGTGATAAACTAACAGAACCTCACACTTCAGGTTATACTGTTAGAGTTCACTGATGTGCTATCAGCATTGTGTGATCAAGGCATTTGTAAGAGGCTCGAGATAGGATGGTAGAGAATAAACTTTAGCTCAAAGCTGAGGTATTACAGCAAGAACTAAGCTACTTAAATATTGTTCTGTTATCTAGTTATAAATAAACATTCACAAAAGATATTGTCTGTGGTAGAGCTGTTACTGCTGTGGTTACCAAGTTCTCCACAAAAACTGTTGTCTTGCTGTTGTGCTGTTACTGCTGCACTGCCATTTGGAGACAAAAGGAGTATTGTCTCTCCCTTCACAGCATACAGCAGTGCAATAAGACAATGACTGACTGGGTTGCTGAGCTAAATGTTCCCATGGTCCTAAGCACTGGCTTAAGCACTCTGACTAAGCAAAGATAGGGGTCATTTCAAGAAAAAGAAAAGGAAAAATAGGAAAAATCATAATATTACCCTCTCCTTAAGACCATTGTCCTGATGGTCAAGTTAGAATAAGTCATCCTGGCAAGTCACAGTGTCATTGAAGATTGCTCTTCACTATATGTCCACACCATTTCTGGCTCGTTTGTTGAAGCATCAGCTTCTCCACCCTCTAAGACTTGTGTTGTATTGGCAGGTATTGATGGAAACTCCTCTTTATCATGGGCATTTCCTGTTGCTACATGTCCTCTGTTGATGGCAGATGGACATATTTGCTCAGGGATAATATTGAACATGATCTCCTTTGTATTGACATAGTTGATTTGTTGCTTGTAGTCATGTATTGCCTCTTCCATGTTCATGTATTTTTTGTTGACCCATTGGTTTGATTCTGGTCCATAGCCTTTTCAGCTGACTAGGTAGTCAACAGTTGTTTTTATGCCTCTGCCTCATGCTTTGACCTTTCATATTTTGTGGTTCAGCACTTCATCGATTTCATAGTGTTCTTCATCATCAATTAATTCAGGTGGTGGCAGAGATGATTGTTCTTGGTTTGGAAATGCCAGTGTGATATATGGTGTCAATAATGTTTCATTGAAAACATTATGAATTTTCCATGTTGCTGGTAATTGCAACTTGTATACAGAGTTGCCAATCTTGGCAATGACTTTGAATGATTCTATTCATTTGTCTGCCAGTTTTTGTTTGGGGTGAGGCAGGTGTAGGTTTGTCATATCCAACCAAACCTTGTCATTGATTGAATACACATGTGTAGGGCAATGGTGTTTGTCATACTGATTCTTCATTGTTGTGGCTGCCTTCTTGAGAGCTGTTCTTGTCTCTGTATGGATTTTTGCTATTGTCATTGCAAAATCTGTGGATGCTGATGTTGTTGTGTGCATCCATTCTGTTTATGCAACTGGTGGGTTTTGTCCATAGTTCACAAAGAATGGCATCTTGCCAGTTGCTGAGTGAACCCTGTTGTTATGTTGGAAGGCAGCTAGTGCTAGCCATTCTGTTCAATTGTCTTGTCAATAGTTTATGAAAAGTCACAGATACTTTTCAATTTCTTGGTTGGTCTGTTCTGTTTGACCATCTGTCTGTGGGTGATATGCCATGGAGGCATTTCATTTGATGTTGAGGAGTCGATATAAGTCATCCAAGAATTTAAACACAAATTGTGGTCCTCTGTCTGAAATTACTACTTGAGGCATGCCATATTTTGCATAGACCTCATCTCATAGTAGTTTTGCCCATTCCTCTAATGTCAATTCTGTTGAACAGGTGATCAGGATAATTGTTTTCAAGAAGTGATTGACTATGATGAGGATTGCATTATAGCCATCACTTTCAGGAAGCCTGGTTATCATATCCACTGAGATGTGGGTTCATGGTGATAAAGGAACCTCATTTGGGTGGAGTGAGACTGCTCTGGGTTGTGTTGAGGTTTTGCCTCATTGGCAAACCTTGCAAGCTTTGACATATTGGGTGATATCATAGTCCATTTTTGGCCACCAGTATTTCCTCAAGACTAATTTCTTTGTCTTAGCGATTCTGGGATGTCCTGCTGTTGCATGGTCATGGCATGTGGCAATGATGTCACTGTGAAGTCCTTGGTCTCTTGGGATATAGATCTGTTTATTGTATCAGATCAATCCCCCATCCTTTTTCAGTTTCCACTCATGATTAAGTGATGGGGTGATCCTTTGGTTCCACTTGTGAGGGTCTCTAGTGGCACTTTTGATGCACTTGTGCATCTACTCTTCTGTCAGCATGATCATTGCATGAAAGTGCTCTGGTTGTAGGAGTATGACTTCTTTGTTGTCATCCTCTCCTTGGTTGTGGTCAGCTCTCTGGCTAAAGAAATCGGCCTTCTTATTCATTGCACCTGGCTTGTGGTGTAGCATATATTCATATTGTGATAGTTCTGTGACCCATTGAGCTTGTTGACGATTAAGCTTTTAGGGGTGTCAGAAATATTGCAGATTTTGATGATCCATCCAGATTTCAAAAGTCTGGACTGCTCTAATGAGGTAATACTATCATTCGGCAAGTGCTAACATTATGACAAGGAGTTTCTTGTCATAAATCTCATAATTGTGCTTGGTTATGGTAAGTGCCTTTGATATAAAGGCAACTGGTCACTATTTGCCATCCTGTTCTTGTGAGAGTACTGCTTCGATTGTGCCTTCACTGGAGTCAGCCTCCATCCTGAACTTCCCATCTTGGCTTGATATGGCTAGGATGACATCTTCGGCTAGATGGCATTTGAGATTGTTAAATACTGCTTGTTGGAAAATTCCCCAAGTCTATGGGGAATTTCTGGTTAATTGCATCATGGGTCAGACTATCTTGCTATAGTCCTGAATGAACTGCTGGTAGAAGTTGGTAAATCCTAAGAATGATTGCAGTTCCTTCTTCTTGGTTGATTCCAGCCATTTGGTTACTCCTGCCACTTTGACAGAATCCATCCTGATGCTTTCTTCGCTGATAATGACTCTGAGGTATTCGGTTTCTAATATCTTGAACTCACATTTTTCAGCCTTGAGGAAGAGTTGATGCTTCCTCATTAAGGCTAGTACTTATCATACTATCCTTTGGTGTTCCTCCTTGGTTTTAGACATGATAAGTATGTCATCCAAGTAGATCATTACTTTCTCCATAGCAATGAGATCCTTGAAGATATCATTCATTATCCACTGGAATATAGTCAGTGAGTTGGTGAGTCCAAAGAACATAACTATTGGCTCAAACAAACTATGGTTAGTTCAAAAAGTGGCCTTCCACTCATCACCTTCTTTTATGTGCATGTTGTTGTACTTCCATCTAACATCCAGTTTGGTGTAGTATTTAGCACCTCAGAGTTTGTCCATTAATTCAGAGATTAAAGGAAGCAGATAACAATTCTTGATTGTCATCTCATTGAGCTTCTGATAATCTTGTACTGGTTAGAGTTTGCCATCCTTCTTTTTGATGAAAAAGAAGGGAGACACCATCGGTGACTTTGATGGTTGAATCCTTCCATTGGATAAGTTTTCTTCCAAAAACTTATCCAACTCCTGCTGTTTATTGTTGCCAAGAGGATAGCATTTGCAATCCAGGTTGGCACTTGCATTGGGGATTAATTCAATGGCATGATCTCAGGGTTTTGGGTCAGATAGTTCATTGAAACTTTCCTTCTCAAATAGATCTCGATAATCCTGTGCCTATTTTGGTACTAGTTTCTTGAATGTTTTTTCCACCTTGCCAGCATTAGCCTTTGCCACTAGGTCATTAGCATGATGAATTGCTTGAATGCTAATGGCCCTTTGTAAGTCAATGGCAAGGATCATCTTGCCATCTTCTATCTCCTCATCCCACC